CATTTTTATGCAGCCACACAATGTCCTTGTTTGTTATCCTTTTTTTGTGAAATGTTCAAGGGGTGGTAGTGGTAGTTTCTTGCCTATGTCAATATTTTTGAGAAGCTAAACTTTGTTCAATAACGTTAAAAAATGTTGATGAGGTCGATGGTGGTGGTTACAAAACTATTACCCTCTTGGTCATTGTCCTTATTCATCGATTTGTGTTTGATGATGACGATGATGAAAATGCAACAGCATTATTTTTTTAATGAGGACATAGGGTGGTAAACGGAACAGCGGAAACTGTACTGCACACATTCCATTACATTGGTAGAAAAAAACTAAGTTTTCTGTTCCGCACTCTCTTTCCATTGTTTTTAGGGGATAGAATTGTTGCAATGCATTTCTGGCTTACTGGCCTTACGCAAATGCCTATGCAGGGAACCTTGGTTGGATGTAAAGGAATTTTCATTTGTTTTAGAGTTTTATTTTTTTCTTCGATGTTCATTGTTAGGTAGTAAGTTCCATTCGTGGTGGTAGTTGCTTCAATATAATTTAATTTGTTAAGAAATCATTTTGGATTTTCTTCAAGGGAAAACAAGTTTTATTTGAAGTTCTACGATGTCTTAAGATTTTCTTTTTATTTCCTTCTTTTATTAAGATGATTTTAATTTTCTTGGGAAAATCCTCAAGGATTGAACTAGTTTTGTGTGTGTTCTGGCGACTGATGGGAAAATCTTGGCTTTGCTTAAGCATATTAATTTAATAGCTGACAATAGTTTGTGGCAAACGGGTAATGTGGGAAATTGTTTTAAACTTGAACTTATTAGCATTTGTTATGAAGGTCGAAGTGGCTTTTCTTAGACCATAACAATGAAAAAAAAGGAAACACGATCAACATATTTCGGATTATTGGGGAACCTATGGCTATTAGAGGTTTTGATTGGGATTTAAATTAATAAATATAACTAGTAAAAACGATGTTAAGTTCGACCCGGCCCAATTTTTTATATGAGGATGACAATCAACATATTTAAATTTAAAGTTGGGGGCTCCTAGCAGATATCTCATGTTATGATTGGACCTTGAACATACCGAAAATACGTGAGGAAAAGATGATTGAAATTTTCAAAATATCTAATAGTGGGGCTACCGTTATATTGCAGCTATAATAAAACGAGGATCAATATGGATATTTTTGGTAGTGAGATCTGACAGCCAATAAGAATACAAAATACCAAATTACAGCTAATCCGGTTGAACAACGTGTCAAAAATTCTCAAAATACAAACTTGGGGCAATATTAATAATTTATTGTGCGGAGATGTGGTGTGATTGAAAAACGTTTCAAAAATCCCCATTTTGAGGGCATATTATGGGGGGGTCCTGCTCTATTATTATTAGCAAAATAACTCTAGTAGTCGATTTTCACAATCCACAATAAATACCAATTTTGTATCATTAAATAAATTGTGCAATACAAGAAAAATATGATATTCGCTTGGTGCCAAGTCCGGACTGTATAGCGGATACATCAAAACTGGCCAGCAATTTATCGTTTGGCCATATGAAAGCAACTATAATCCCCTTCCAGTTCCACCAAATGGATAGCAGAAACTTCCCGGTCGTTAGTCCTGATTGGGTCACCGTTTGAGGTGCATCACCGCTCTTTGATCACAATCGTTTTCGCGCAGGTTTTTCGTTTAACAAATGGGTATATCTCATTCCGTTTGGCCAAGGCTTCGAAGATGGAAATTTGATCCATCATATTATTTCTGTTAATTGATGTGGCACCCATATATCGAGCTTCTTTTTGAATCCTGCTTTATGTAAATGGTTTAAAACAGTTTTATGGTCGATTTTTAGTTCCTGGGCGATGTTACGACTGCTAACATGCCGGTCAACTTTGATCATTTCTCCAATTTTATCGACATTTTCGACGACCGGCCTAATGGATTTTTTCCACAAACTATTATTTGTACGGTTGTATGTTATACACTGAAAACCCAATTGCCAAATTACTGTCAATTCGGTTGGAAAATCTGTCTAAAGTTACCAAAATACCGAGTACCGTTGCATGGTGTCTACCCTTGAACTTTGGTCAATAATAATAACTTTTGGTACGGAGAGGTTAAACGTGCATTTCTTTCTTAGCGTGCTGAAATAAAGCCATTACTACATTAGGGCTGTAAGACAAATTACCCACCAATCCACGTTTTGGCCAGCTCTGATTTCAATCAAATTTTCAAGGTACACAATTATTTGTCTTTTATTATTCGACTTTCGAATATCTCCGAAGACCCTAGATAAAATATTTTTTACTAATAGAACTTGTTAAAAACGTTTTGATTTTTTTATGAATTCTAAATATATGTTTTGTGGCCTAAAAGTGTAACTGTTTATCATCCACATTTTATCCAAAACCCTTAATATCTAGGCTTAAATATTAGCCTATTAATTCTATGGGTTTCTTTATTTATTTATTTTAATTCTGTCCATATTAGTAAATTTGGTCACCACAAGAGTCGTCAGATGTTGAAGCTTTCCATTCAACTTTTAAATGTGATGATAAAAATATAAGGCCACCAATTTTAAGGACTACTTTAAGTTAAATAAGTCACAATAAGTCAAATTTTAAATAAGTCACATTTTCAACAATATTTTTTTTTGACCTATATTTCCGTGAAGTAACAACTCTAACCATAGCAACGAGAAGATAAATTGAAAATTTTAAATTTCGAATATATACATTGGAAAATTCTAAACTCCCTTAGCTTTTGTCTTCGGTCTACATGAGTAGAATTTAGGTTAAATCCCAATTCACTCTGCGAAGCTTTAAAAAACTCAAAAATTTTAAGTGAAAGTTAAAATTTCCAACATTACATGGCATCCCACTCTCTCACTACCAAGTTTATTTAAAAAGGGTTAGAAATAAGGATGAGTATCTAAAAATGTTAACATAACACAACCTGTGTAAATAAAGGGTGAATAGAATTATCTATGTTAGGGCTTCTCCTTCCTTTTGACATCTTCTGAATAAAAAAGAAGAGCAAAACAAAATATACCCCTTTTTTCTAAATGAAATTTAGCAAAAAGGATAAAATCCTTATGTAAATTATCTAAAGGGGAATTTCATTTACATACAAAATCTGACAACATACAAACACCCACCCAAACAATATATTTTTTATGTTTAGATGAGTGTAAAATAAAACTCATTCACTTGAAATATTTCCAAATAACATTTCCTTTTCTTTTTTGTCTATTTTTTTTCTATACTTACAGAGAGACTTTTAAGCGCGCGTAAAAAAGGAGAGAGTTAAACAAAACAAAATACAAACTTTTGAAATTAAAAAACAAAACTAAATAAAAAAACATTTAATACCAAAAAAATCCAAATTTTTAAAGAAAAATCATTGAGAAAATTAAAACAAAACGCATAATTTTTCTTTATAAAAAACCAAACAAAATTTGGAATCAACCAAACAAATTACCAATCAATTTGAATGTATCAACTAAACGTAAAACAATACCCAAACAGAGACAAACTGCAAATTCAACCGAAAAAGCACAAACAAATTAATTTTTATTAAAAATTAAATGCAAAAGACATTCGCATGTGTGTGGTGGTGGAAAGAATTAATAAAACAAAATTTACAATTAGAAAAAGGAAAAAACGTAAACGTCACATTTTGAAACGGAAGGCTAAAACTAAAGAGAAAACTCAAAACTTAACATTCCGAACCAATCAAAATTTCTAAGTTTGGCGAAATAATTAACAAGCTAAAGGAAGCGTCAGGATATCAGCGAGAACCAGAACACCACAAAGAAAGGCTTAACCAACTAAGTCAATCTCTATTTTTTTAAACAGAACGCCAAAAGAAAACAAAACCAAAAAGCAAAGGACGTGAAACACGCACACACACACAAAGTAACGAAATTTCCCTCTACTAGACTGATAACAACAAAAATTAAATCGAGTCAAAAACAAAAGTACCCAACAAGTCGCCAAGGCTGAAGTCTTCATTCAAATTCATATCAAACTTTTTTAAAAGAGAATAAAGAATTCCATAGATTTTCATTGCCACAACAAGACAAAGGAGAATCAACCGACCGACCAACCAAACCAACCCACATCGTGTTGAGTTAAATTTGGCCCCACTCCCATCATCAAACGACCCCTTCAAACAAATACCAAAAAAATCCATTTTGAAAACGCATTTTACGTGAATATATTTTTTGGATTTGTTTTTGTGTGTGTGTTCGTATTTTTTAGGTGGGGGAGACAACCACCGACCAACCAACCAAACAATCTAACAAAGACGGCGAATTTTCTCTAATTTGTTATTGTTGTTGGCGTGTATTTCCTCCACAGCAGTGTTTTGATTTTTTTGGGGGGCAACCAAGTGAGACCAAGCGAAACCAGTGAGTGAGTAAGTGAGTGAGTGAAATTGTCTGCCTGTCTGCCACCAATAGAAGTTTCAACAAACAAACAAACACACGCACACACACACACAGAAAACCAGCGGAGACGACTTCTTGGCTCTTTCTCTCAGTACACAACACAGCACTGCACAAGATTAAGTCAAACTCAGAGAAACGGCGAATTACTCTGAGTAACAAAACGAGTGTTTGTGTGAGAGTGTGTTTTGAAACGCTAAGGAGAAATTATAACGGCGAATTCATTAACTTCACCTGAGGAGTTATTTCTTAAAAAAATCCCCAACAGCAAGTGAGAGCCAGGCAGAGAGAAAAATATTACTGCTCTCTGTTTACCTCTTCAGGAATTGAAAATACAAAAACAAAAACCGAACATCATCAAGACAACGTGTTGAAGGGTGATTTCTACTCCCCCGCCCCAACAACAGCTGCGCCTTCGTCTTCGTCCTTCCGAATACAACTGGTGGTGCTGCTGCTGTTGCTGCTGTGGTGGTTCCATCGCCCCCATACCCCATCACCGCAACAATCCAACCATCCACTACTCTCCAGTAACGAGTGGTAGTGGGTGGCATCTGATGATGTCATCAGAGGAGGACACAGATTGTTTTGGTTTGTTCACCGATGATAAGTCTTTGCTTAAGGCAACCTTAACAAATTCGCACTCAGCTTTGACCAACAACACTACCACCGGCACAACGGCGGATATCTATGAAGCGGCGAATAACGACAACAATAGCTTCGACGAATGCTCCAAGTCACAGCTAACAGCCACACTGACAAATCTTAAAACGGAAGCGGAAACACACAGCAACGGTCACTGTTCGCCCCAGCTAACAACTCTGCACAGTAATCTAGTGGGTGCCGGGGACCAGAACCAGAAACCCGAGCCACAAGAGGAGGAGGAGGCAGAAGGGCAAAAACACAACTCCAAGCAAAAGGAGAAACAAACAGAAAACCCAGTTGCCAGTAGTGGAAAACGGCGGTCACAAGCCAACAACGGCAACACTGACGGAAAACTCAAACGCAAAGGCGAAGGCGAAAATTCTTCTCTAAACAACTCAAACAAAACGAAAGGCAACAAAAAACAACAGCACACAACGGCAACTAAGCAAGAGCAGCCCAGCAAAGAAGAGCAGGCAATAAACGACAACAACAACGACGACGACGGCACAGACGACAACGTAGGGGAGCCCACTACAAAGGCAACATCCTCTACTACGGCACAGAACGAAGAAGACGACGAAGTTATATTTCTCTTCGCCGGTAATTCTCTTAATAACAGCCCTAAACGCTGTGGCCGTAGTGGTGGTAGTGGTGGCACAACCAACACAAAAACACCACCAAACGTAGCTGGCACAGCCACAGTCACAACAACAGCAAACACTAACACAGCCACAAACACACTCATTACAACAACACCACCAACCTTAACAGAGACTCAGACTTCGTCGTTGTCTACGACTCAACAGAATACAACCACGGCTGCCACGACGTCGTTGACAACGGCCGTAGACAACATCCACGGTAAACAACAAGTCGTCCAAGTCGTTGAAACATTTTCTGAAAGTAGTCATAGTGGTGCCGTCAGTAAGACAACAACGTCAGCTCCGTTAGCTCTCGCATCGACCACAGCCACGTCTTTGTCGAGCACCTCGTCGAGAAAATTTACGGAACTTAAACAAAATTCGAACGCGACCCAACAAAGTAAATCAAATAAAAATTCAAAGTTACAAACGAACTCGTCTCGAGCCAATAAAACGAATAATGTGCAAAGTGCTTCTTCTTCTACATCGTCCTTAAATCAAAATCAGAATAATAATACGAGTAGTAGTAGTAATAACAAAAAGAATAAGAATAATTCGCTAAGGACGACAACAACATCGCGTTCAAGTGATAATTTTGTGAATGAAAACAATAATACAAACAACAACAATACCAGTTCGAATCAAACATTTTCTAATGATTTCGAAGATTTTGACAAAAGTGATTTGAATATTTTCGCATCATTGCCAAATTTTATACAACAATTAACTCAGCAACAACAACAACAGCACCAACAAAATTCAGCCAGTCCCTCATCATCGTCAGCGACAACAGCGGCCCTTACGCCACCCACCCTATTGACGCCGTCAACAGCTGCTGCCTTAATGAGTAGTGCTGCTGCGGCTGCCGCGGGTGCCGCTGGAGGAGCTCTATATGGGGCCTTACTGAATCAAACCACATCATCATCGTCCACTTCACAATCGCCCACTGCCCAGCATTGTTCTGCAGCATCGAAAAACTTTCCCCAGAATTCACCCAGTTCCTCGACAACATCGCCCACCGCCTCCCTGCTGACCGGCCAGTTTACGGCAGCTCTAGGTAATTTTTTCGGGGCCAACGGTTTTGGTTCGGCCAAAATGTTGAACGAACTATTCGGCCGTCAAATGAAGCAGGCCCAGGATGCTACCAGTGGTCTACCCACAAATTTGGATAATGCCATGTTGGCCGCAGCCATGGAATCGGCCACCAGTGCCGATCTGCTCAGTGCTGCCGGACTTGTCAATTCGCTTGGTCTGAACACAAACAGTAAATTGCTCAACAACAATTCCATATCCAGTGACCAACAGATATCCTCCTCACAATCGCCCAAAAATCGTCGCATCAGCAACTGCAGTGAACGTTCCCTGGAAGAGAACACCAATGCCCAGCGCAATGGTTCGGGTACACCACCCCGTGCTCCATCGGTGGGCAATAACAATTCCAATAATGCCAACAGCAACAATGTTGGCTCCACCAACAACACACAATCCACCTCACCCAGTTTGCAACAACAACAAAACGATTTGGCCCATCACATGCTGCGCAATATTCTGCAAGGCAAAAAGGAGCTAATGCAGCTGGATCAGGAACTGCGCTCGGTTATGAATCAGCAACAGCAACACAAAGATAATCAGGACTCGTTAAAATTGAACAACAATAACAATAATGCCTCAGCCAATAACAATAATAACAACAACAATGTCACCGATTCAAAATCGGACAATTCGAATGTGATAAACCTCATTGAGGACTCACTGTCGGAAATCAAAATTAAAAGTGAACCCAATATGCCCACATCATCCATGGAATTGATGAATGGCTCAGTGGAGCGTCGCAAATCATCCGATTCAGATTGTGGAGGCATGAATTCGCCACACAACTCTCAGCACGAGGACCAACAGTCGGAACTCGATGGCCAGGATTCCCAGCATGGCCAGGAACAGGTCGACAATGAACAAATTGATATGTCCGGTGTTGTGACGAAAAAGGAAGCCGATGACATCCTCGAGGATGTGGAACTGATGGGTCTGAATTCCCGTTCCGATCTCGAGTCACTGGCATCTCCCTCGCAATCGGATATGATGCTCTTGGATAACAGCAAAGATGATATGGATGAGGATTTGGACAAGGACATGTCCTCAGGTATGCCCAAGAAATCCGATTTGAAACGCGCCCGTGTCGAGAACATTGTGTCCAGTATGCGTTCCAGTCCCTCGGCCTCCAACCAGGCCCATCTGCAGGTCAACGGCTGCAAGAAACGCAAGCTGTACCAACCTCAACAGCACGCCATGGAACGATATGTGGCCGCTGCTGCCGGTCTAAATTTCGGCTTGAATCTGCAATCGATGATGCTCAACGATGCCGATGACTCCGACGAAAATGAGTCGCCACAACTGCAACAAAAACGCAATGAGAAAAATGCCCTCAAATCCCAGTTGCGCTCCATGCAGGAACAATTGGCCGAAATGCAGCAGAAATATGTGCAATTATGCTCACGCATGGAACAGGAGTCGGAGTGCCAGGAAGTCGAAGATAATGTCAGCGATTGCATGGAACAGGAGGACAATAACGGTGATCTCTCACCCTCACCACCGCTCATGAATGAAGAAGCTTTGCAGGAGGACAAAAGTTCGGGTCAAGAAAATGAACGGCCCAATTCGGCCTCACCGTTGCCCATGAAAAATGGTAAGCTTGTGAGCAATCCCAATTCTACCGCACTCACCTCCATGGAAAACGCTCCCAATATGCTATCGCAAATGATGAGCAAAATGATGTCGGGTAAGCTACACAACCCCTTGGTGAGTCATCCTCATATGCAACAATCATTCAACGGACCATTGCCACTGTTGCAACATATGCCACAGTTGCAGACCGGAGAGGGTGGCCTACCTCATCCAGCAATCAGTAATGCTGCCGCCATGTACTTGGGCCAACAGTTCTTCTTCGAACAGGAGGCCCGTATGGCCAAGGAAGCTGCCGAACAGCAGGAACGCCAACAGCAGCAGCAACAACAACAATTGCAACAACAGCAAGCTCAGGAACAACAAGAACAACAACGTCGTTTCGAACAAGAGCAACAACAGAGACGCAAGGAGGAACAACAACAGCAGCAGGCTGCCCAACAACAGCAGGCCGCTCAACAACAACAGCAGCAGCAACAATTGCGCCAACAACAAATGCAACAGCTGAAACATGAGCAGCAAAGCTTGCAACAGCAACCCACACGTCCCCAGCTGCATCACAACAGCAATCGTGTCAGTCTACGCCACAACACTGCTCTGAAGAGCGAACTATCTGAAAAATTCAATATGTTGCGCTCCAGCTCAAGCTCCATCATGCGCATGTCCGGCGCCGATCTTGAAGGCCTTGCCGATGTGCTCAAGTCGGAAATTACAACCTCACTATCGGCCCTGGTCGATACAATTGTCACACGCTTCGTACACCAACGCCGTCTGTTCAGCAAACAATCCGATTCGGTGGCCGCCGCTGCCGAACAGCTCAACAAGGATCTCTTGCTTGCCTCCCAAATCCTCGATCGTAAATCGCCACGCACCAAAGTTGCCGACCGTTCCAACGCGAACAGCACCAGCAGCTCAGCATCCGCCCAATCGAATGGACACTCCGCCGTAGCCGCCGCCGTCGTCAATCAAGCAGGTAATAATACTGGTAACCTCCTCTTAGTTAATAACAATAACTCTAGCTCAACGAATAGTCTAAATAATCCATTGAATCCACAAAATACTAACCCATCTAATGCCCTGCAAGCAACGCAGCAAGCTGTCGCCCAAATGGGCGGCCACTTGCCCAACGTTGTGAGTAGCAGCGGTCCCCAGGTGAATGCCATGCCCATGGCCAGTAACCAAAACCCCAATGCTACGCCAGCTAGTATGGCGGCAGCACTGAATGCCCAACAGTGTCAAAGTCTCATAGCTGCACCACGCCTTAACGGCAATCAGTTGTCATTTCCCTCACCCGCAGCCGCTGCGGCTGCGGCAATGGGCTTACAAATGCATCATGCTGCGGCAGCGGCTGCTATGTCAGCGGCGGCCGCTGCCTCTGGTCAACAGCAGCAGCAACAGCAACAACAAAACCTTAACAATAATCAACACCCAACCCACCTCGGCCAAGATGGTGTCGTCAATGGTGGTATGGTGGGTATTGGTGGTGGAGCCACCCAGCTCAATAGTTTGAATGGTTCCAATTCGAATATGACCCTCAATCTTAATGCCCCAACAAATAATACTAACAACAACAACAATAGTTTAAGTACAATAAATATACCACCACCTCATATTCGACCTTCGCCCACAGCGGCAGCAATGTTTCAGGCACCGAAGACACCTCAGGGCATGAACCCGGTGGCAGCAGCTGCCCTCTACAATTCGATGACATCGTCCGGACCGCAACAGATGAATCCCTTCTGTATGCCCGAGCCTCGCGATCAACAGCAGCAACAACAACAGCAGCAGCAACAACACCAGCAACAGCAACAACAGTTGCAACAGCAGCAGCAACAACAACTGGAACAAAACGAGGCATTGAGTTTGGTGGTGACACCGAAAAAGAAACGCCATAAGGTCACGGATACCCGTATCACGCCACGCACCGTTAGCCGGATCTTGGCTCAAGATGGCCTGGTGCCACCCAGTCCCGTCAATGGCATGACCCAAAATGGACAACAGATGCAATCCCAAATGAATGGCCCCTGCAATACCAACGGTCAGAATCCTATGAATCCCGCCTCGCTGAACAGTCTCAATCAGAATACCGGCAATACGAATCAAGGCAATAGCAATAACAACAACGGTTGCAACAACAATCCGTCAGCCGCGAACAACAGCAACAACAACCAACAAGGCAACAATTCGAACAGCAATACCACACCCGCCCAGAGTCCATCGCCGCGTAGCCAGGCGCCGCCAGCATTCCATGCGAATGCGGGACCACCGCCACCACCACCCATGTTGCCCGTGTCGTTGCCCACCTCGGTCGCCATACCCAATCCTTCGTTACACGAATCGCAAGTCTTCTCACCCTACAGTCCATTCTTTAATCCGCATGCACCGCCGCCGCATGGACCTCACGCCCCGCCCACAGCCGCCCAAATGCATCACATCAAAATGTCCTCAAGTCCGCCAGGCGGTTTGGGCAGTCTGATGGATGGTTCGCGTGATGGTTCTCCGCCACTGCCACCACATCCCTCAACCATGTTACATCCTGCGCTGTTGGCTGCCGCCCACCACGGTGGCTCACCCGATTACAGTGCACACTTGCGTGCTGCCATGGACGCTCAAGATCGTAATTCGGATTGCAATTCGGCTGATATGCAATTCGATGGAATGCAACCGACCATATCGTTTTTGAAACAACAAATGATGTGAGTATGAGAAATGCATATTTTTATTTAAAACAATTTTTTTGCATGTTTTGAAATTTTGTGTATGAAAAAAAAGGAATTAATCAAATGGGGAAGAGGTGAAGTGCCTTAAATTAAAATTATTTTTATAAAGTAATCAATTTCCTACTTTGTGTTAATTTGAAAATTTTCTTTTATTTTCCATTATTTTCAACTGGAAATAACTAAGAGGAAGTGGTCTAGTGTTACTTCCCCACCTACCTTTTATACCTTCTTAAGCTTAAGACCAAATCACATTCCTGAGTATATATCATGTTTATTATGTAGGAAACCAATCAAGTGTCTTTAGTTTTTTTTTTTTTAAATACAAAAACTTGCTGCCTTAAGTAGTTGCCACAGAATAAAATACGAAAAAAACAAATACCGTACAAGCCAAATCGTCCAATGAATGAATGAAAAGAACAACAAGCCGAACAATCTCTTATAAATAAGTAGCAGTGAAATCAAAACCTTATTTCAACAGCCCCAATCACTTAACTATTAAAATCAAAATACCATTCCCCCAGCCCCAACATCTCCACACGCACACACACACACACACTGCAAGAACACAAACCCAAAGCGAAGCAGTGAAATAAAAATCGAAGAAACTTAAGAATTTCTGCTAAAGAATCAACAACCCATTGATTACAAAATGCTTCAACAAATCTTTAAGCCCAAACGAACTACAACAACATGGAACTACATCCCCCACTAGACCCAGTCAAATGCAGTGCATGAGGGGCCAACAACCGTCAGCACCTTGTTTTTCAAAACCCAACCAACCACCCATGCATCCATTCATTCCCTCACCTGGTTTCCTTAACAAATCTTCTGCTTTGGCAACTCGACTCAATCAAGGTGCATTGCATTCAAAATCAATCAATGCACTCTCTCAGTCAGGTTCTGTTCACAGTGGGTGTATTGGGTGTGTGTTTTTATTTTTAATTTTTCTTACCTTTCTTTTTAACGAAGAGAAGAGAAAAATTGCAACAACAACAACAACGATCAAATGGCAAAGTTCTTGTGGTTGTTGTTGTTGCTGTTAAGTTACATTGATGACTATTGGAAAAAATGATTTTTTGTATAGAAATTGCTTTCAATCAAACTAGGGAAGGAGGAAATATAGTCTTCTTCACCTTTTCCCCATTCAAATAATGAAAAAAGAACAAAAAATAAACTGCATGCAATCAATATGAATATTTTTTGTAATATAAATAAAACCTATACATATATATTTTTTTCTTATACAATTTTTATATAATATTTTTTTGTTTTCTTTTTTTCTTCCTTTTCCTCCTTTTTCTACTTTTTACAACTTTGTGTGTTTTGTTGTTATGTTTACGTTGGGAATGCAATTTTTGTGGTTCAAAAAAAAATATTTTTTTATTAAAAAAAAAAAACGCTTACAATGAAAATACTGAAATGTACAATTTCTATTTTCATTTCCACAAAAATAAACGTAAACACCCAAAACTCTTTCCAATGATACACGAACATTTTAGCAAAAATAGCGATTCATTGACCACCTCGCATTCATCGACACTGACGCCAATGCATTTGCGCAAAGCGAAACTGATGTTCTTCTGGGTGCGCTATCCATCATCATCAGTATTGAAAATGTATTTCCCCGATATTAAATTCAATAAGAATAATACAGCACAATTGGTGAAATGGTTCTCGAATTTCCGGTAAGTACAAGAAAAAATTTAATTTTTATAAATAAATTTATGTACCAAAAAATAGGAAATGAGAAAATTAGGGAAAAATATTTTAGTAATTTGTTGTAAAAAATTTGGAAATGTTTTTCTAAAAAAATATTTTAAATGTTCTTATTTAGTCATTTTTAGAATTTTTTGTTTATTTTTTACATTTTTATATTTCAAACTCCTCATATGTAAGGAAAAAATGCGTTTTTTCATGTGTGTGTGTGATTTCTGCCAACAAAAAAAGCACAACCTATTCTAACCCCAACATTTGTTGGTGTGTGGCAAAGCTAATTAGCATTTTCCGTTCGTTTCTTTTATTTATGATGATTTCCAGGCATTCATTTACCCATTCATCTCTTGCTGTGCACCCATCACACATGTGAGCATGAGTGTGTGTGTGTTGCACCAAGAATAGCTGAAGGTGTCAAAAGCCTAATAGAATTTCTGCATTATATTATGCTAGAAAAAAGCACAGATCCCTTTTGTGTTTCTTGTTGGTTGCGTTTTGTTTTTTCTTTCTTTTTTATTAGGACAGCAACAACAATTTTAAGTGACTAAACACAAGCATTTTGAATACTTTGAATACGCACAGTCAGTCAGTCACATTTGCAGTTATATGCCATGTGTGTGTTTACTCATACACCTGTTAGCACCCCCATCCCCCCTCACTACACCCCATAACAAATAAAATCCTTTTTCCGTTGAAAAGTGCATAAAATAATGTTTAGAACAGACTCAGAGACGTCGACACACACACATGTTTTGTTGCCAAACATACGGGAGATTGATTTATAATGTGCTCCACATTCTCCCTCTCAATTCAATTTTTGTATGAGACAATCATATTGGGGGCTTAGAAATACTCAGAGACGTATGCAATTGTGTTTTTTCGGGAAGACACATATTTGTTTGAGATTGCTTCATGTTTATGCTCCCTCTCAGCCTCTCCCCATTAACAGTTTTGTTTTTTCTCCATAGGTGACAATTGTATTAGGTTCTTTTGTATAAATCTTACACACACACACACTCATCAATGGCTGTGAGTGAATAGTGGGTGGGTGGCTGTTTGGTTGTTTGGCTGAGTAGAGAGTGTGGGGTTGTTGTTTTTGGAGAGCAGAGTATGGGAGTGTAAGGTATTTGGCTTTGCTTAGATGGCATTGGTTGGTCGCTTGCCTGCCTGCTTCGTTAAAGTGAGAAGAATAATATTCATTGGGTGGGTGGTGTGTAATATTGTTGGTCTTTATGTTTGGTTGGTTGCTTGACTGGTGTGGGTGGTTGGCTGTGTGTGAGAAAACCTGTTAAATCTTAGAGAGTTTGGGGCCTTTTTGTATTGTTGTTATTGTCATCATCGTTTTTTGAGTGGTTAAAGTGGCTTTGTATATTTAATAATAATAACTTTTTGCATAATATGCAAATTGTTAATTGCTTCTTTATTATTATCCTTGATAATTGCATCAAGTGGCAGAGCATATGAGGTGTTCTTATTCTTTGTATGAATGCAAGCAGCCATATGGAGTTATTGTCTTAATGTTCACTTTTTGTGCATTTCACTCAATGCCTTTCAATTAGGAATTCTTGAGGAATTGTTAACAAGTGCTGCTTAAGTGACAAAAATACACAATTGACAAAATAATAATAAAGAAAGAAAGTGACTTATAATTAAGGAGCCTCATATGAGCAAATATATATTTTATATATTTTTAAATTTAATGGAAATAAGGAACAAAAATATTATTTATTTTTATAAAAAAATCAAATAATAAATATAAAATTTTAGTAAAACTGGGGAAAAAATTGGAACATATGACAAAATGTAATTAATGATTTCTGTAGTTTATTTTTTATTAAAAAAAATAACCCAACAGCTGTGCAATAATCAACCTTTAATGACCCCCCTTAATAATGTCAAATGTCTTAGACTAATTACAACGAAAACGAACTGAAGCCCATTCAATGAAAATTAAAGGAAACTACTACCTTTCCAAAAACAATATTATAAATTGATTAAATAAATAAAAGAAAAAAAACAACTTTTAACCCTACAATTAGCTTCATGATCAAAATAAAATTAGTCCTTCAGAAAAAACAAAAATTTCCGTTACTTTTTTCTCACAACCGGAAGACATTTAACTTTGCCACACCAAAGAAAGAAAAACAGAAAACATATAATAATGAGTTTCATTGAAAACTTGGAAACGTAATGCCAACGAAATTCCCACCCATTTTAACTTATATAAGCCACATAAGGCAAACAACTAAAAACTAACCCTCTCTCTATCTCGGTGGTGCCCAGAAATTCCCATGCACATTGGCATAACATTACATTACACAAAAACAACCCCATTTAACGGCAAATGTTAAGAAATCTTAAGAAAGTCCTTCCTTAGTAAATAAATATTAAACTACCCTACTTGCGTAAATGCGCAAAATCCTTAAGGAAAACCCAAGACACGCACACACACCCAAAATCTCTTTATGGCAAAACGAAAAAATCCTTAAAGGAAAGGTGCAAATTCACACGGACTACACAAACAACAAAACTGGGTAACAATGAATCTCTGCATAACGGCGTAACAAAAACCCAAGTCAGTCATTGAAAGGTATTGTCCTTTTGTTTTCATGTTCAAACGTCTTGCAAGACGTTAAGGAGGAAAAGGTGTTTAACGGCAGCTGTTCTTAGGGGTGTGTGTGTGCAGGGCTAAATTTACGTGACACACATAAGCCAGGGAATCTCAGTCAATCCAGGTGATTTCAATTCCTCTTTTTTTACTGGCACACTTTAATGTTTCAGGGTTTTCCTCCATTTGTCAGTGCAAGGAGACCAGCTGTCACTTTTAAGAAAGAAATTGAAAACATTTTTGGCGGGTTGTTTTTTGTTGTTGTTTTTGTTAAGCAAATGATTGCCCAATATAAGGGCTGTCTATAGATAATATTTTTAAGCAGACTTTTACTTTTGTTTTTGATGTTGTTGTCATCTACTGTGTAGGGGAAAAACTGAGGGTATCAAATATAGAACACAAAATCGTTTCATTGCAATGCGGGTTCTTAGTAATTCAAAATTGTAGTTATTTTTCCAAAGACAAGCCAGACTTTGGAAAATGCCAAAGAAAAACGAGATGAAGTAAGGAAAGGGAAGAGAGAGGGAAAACTGTTTTTAAAGTTTTAGAAAAAAATAGGTTTAAGTTTCAATATTTTCTAAACTATTAATTATAGGAAATATCTATTTCAAGCTTCTTATGCGTACTTTCCATTGCAACATTATTGCTCTGAATAATTCTCAAGTTTTTTTTTTTAATAGCAAAAAAAAACACTTGAAAAATCTTCAACTTTTGCCAATAATATTTATTAATAAGCTTGTCAAACCCCCTGTCAATGGTATATTTCCCCCACACTCTCTCACCCTTTTCTTCGAATTTCATTCATAAAACAAGAAAAACAAACCGAATCTTCATGTTAATGAAAGAGAAAGAAACAAAAACTATATTTGTAGTCTGGATAAAAAGAGAGGGCCAGGGGAGGTAGTGGTTGCCATACTAGGTGGCTTATGAAGATTGTTGCAAAAGTACACTTAACCTCAAAAAAATGGAATGAACAACCCAACCAACCAACCAAACATTTTACTAAATATACACTACAAGACATAGCAGCAATATGCCGTTATATTATAGCGTGAAAGGCGAAAGATTGGTTGGGAAGGGTGGCATATAGGCTTAAGGACCCATGAATATGTTATGTAAATGCTTAAGTATCCTTTAGACTATCTAACACTATGATGACGACTATAGCTGCACTTTTATAAGCCTTTCCTTTCAATTCCTTTTTTGTTGGCAATAACATATGAGTGGGACACACCCGCACCCCTCCTCCTCCTCCCCCTCGCCTCCTTGCCTAACTGGTGTTGTGTTGATGCAATTTTCTTTCTTTGAGGGTGTTTTGTAAGTGGCCATGTTAGCTCAGCGCGCATCCTTGAGTGTGTTTGTTTTAGAAGAGTCTCCAAGTATGTGGCTGGCTGGTTAAATGGGTGGGTGTGTGTGTATGTTTATTTTTAATATAATTATAACCCAACTCTGTAGTGTTGCTAGTATATATTTGTTGTTGTTGTGCTTGTATCCTATTTTTAATTGCAAGAAGCTCTCTTGAAAAATACACAAAATTTTCCACCATCTTAAATAAACTAATTAGCTTGTCAACGGTCTCTTATGTGTGTTGACATTTTGTATACATATATGTATGTATATATATAAAATACAAGGACCTGTGTATAGAAATCTAAAGGCATTCATATGTCAACCTAAACGGCTGACTGCATATGTATGAAATATACATATATGTAAATATATATACAAAGGCGGTCTGGCATACATTTACATAGTGTATAAGAAGCCAGTGAAGGATCTTTGTTAGTACTTAAAATGCACTTAAGCATTTCATTTCAATAAAGGTGCCCCTCCTCAAAACACACATACACAATGTCACATACATATTGTGGCAAATGTTTTGCCTAAGTGGCATTTCTTTGCAAACGTGGCCGTATTGTAGTTGTAGGAAAAATGGCTTTATATTACAACAATAATGGCAATGTCCTTTGCTTTCTTTCTAAAAAATGTCACTTGTCTCAATTATAATTGTCGTTTCTTTAAAATTACTTTACACCACTTAGCTTTGGTGTTAGAAAAAAGGGACTTGAATTTCCACTGTAGATTGTTCATTTTGTTAGGGTAACAATTAAAACCATTTCCTTATATTAATATGTGTGAATTGCCTCAAAAAAATTTGTAGAATGCAAAAATTTAAATTAAAATAAATTATAGTTTTCTTACAATTAGTTTCTATAAAATAATCATAAAAATAAAACAATTCCCTAATTTTTTGTCTGTTTCTTTTCGTATAAAAATTTAATAAAATTGTATTAATATTCCATGGCATACTTCAAGGCATAAATGCAATAGAGACTCATTATCTCCTTAATTCTAATGCAACCATCCACAATTGTCTTTATTTACTTCTCTTCATGCCCCCCCAACCCCTAAACCCCATTAATATCTTGGGATATTGTTGTCCTTGCCTTGCATCTATGGAAAATTAAGTCCCTTTTTGCAATTTATTAAATCCTTTATGTATTCTAGATTCTGTTTAGGGTATTACTTTCTTTGTCTTTGGCAAAAGGCAGTCGACGGACGGACCGATGTATGTACCGATTGCATTTGTCTCTTTTAGTATCTAAAGAATTTTTAATAAATCTCAAATGTGCAAGAGCACAAAAAAAGAAATTATTAATAATATACAACCACACACACACATACATACTAAAGAACATTTCTACTAATATTTATATCAACGTCATTGTCGTCTGTGTGTAGAACACACAGGACAAAAAAAGCAAACTGATTGCAGTTCTTAAGGGGGTTTCTTATGCCATTGTGCATAGCTCATTTCTCAGAGTGTGCGACTGTGTGTGTCGTTGTGTTTGTTTGTGGGAGTGCACACCCACACACACTGACACACAGAGAAAAGACACCCCTGCAAGCATTTGGAAGTGAGTTTCTCACTTCCTCGCCCAAGAAGTCACTTCCGCGTCACTTCTTTTCGGATAAAAGGCGATAGTTTGTATAATTACAATAACAAAACTGTTCTTGTCTACTTTATATCGCCTTTGAGTTACTTCTGAGTGACGCCTGGGAAGACAAAAGAAGATTGATCAAATGCTACAAAAACAATTTGCTTTCTTTCAAAATTGTCTCTTATCTGCTTGTAAAAACAGTTAGAGGAGAAAACATATAAATCAACTCAGTTAATGTTAATTTTTCAAAGTGATCTGTGTGTATCAATAGTGTGATATTTAAAAAAGCGTAAACAAAAAAAAAAACAGAAATTTTTATTTATATTGTGATTGTTAAAAGTTTGTATTTTATAATGTTTTGAATGTGAGTGTGTGAAAAAATAAATAAAATAATTTGAAACATGTTGCGAAGTAACGTCAAGGCGATAGAAACAGTCGCGGAAGATAGTCGCATTATCGCGGAAGTCACCTCCTTCGGGAAGAAATGAACCACGTCCGCGTCACTTCCAAGAAGTAACTTCTGCGTGTCATATGCGTAGTATCGCGGAAGTTACTTCTAGACGTTACGCAGAAGTTACTTATTGGAAGTGACGCGGACGTGGTTCATTTCTTCCCGAAGGAGGTGACACACATCTTCCGCGACTGTTTCTATCGCCTTGACGTTACTTCGACGTAACTTCCGCGATAGATTTTGCTTGCAGGGACAGAAGAAATGGCAACAATACAGAAAACATCGCCAACCTCCCCTGACTTATATTTCAAAATCCACAAAAGTATGCAACAATATTTGCAGTATTCTTATTAACTCTTGCCATGCCACTAGTATTGCCAACCCTAACCACACTGGAGACTGAGACTTAATACTGGGTTTGGGACTGGGACATGACGGCTGGATGGCGATGGTGGTGGCGATGCTGTTGATTGAGGCGCTTGCCAGAGCGAAGGGATTTAATTAGTAAAAGCTTTAGGCATAGATTAGCTTATAAGTTGCTATTGCTGCCATTTTTTGCTCGCCTGCTTGCTCCCACCGAGCCGAGGAGAAGAAGATGAAGAATATTAATTAAAATTATGAAGAAGCCCCTGCTGCAGCAACAACAACAGCCAGCCAGCCAACCAACAAAGAAATATCATCATTATTTGTTTTCTTTGCTTTATGCAAGCAGGCGAGCAAGCAAGCAGGCATCGTACACAAAAGTAGGCTTGAAAGAATTCAATTGAGATTGAATAACGAAGAGATAGCAGATAGCTATGATGATGCTGCTGATGCACATAACCATAATAGTATGTGTATGTGGGTGTGCGCCTAAGCCTTTATGTTGTTTTTGTTGTTTTTTTAGTATTCCCTCCTATTGCAAGTGCCTACTTTGTGGTTAAATTATCAAATTGAAAGAAATTGAAGCCGTCTTTTAGGCATAGCAATTAGGCAAATGGATAATGATTGTGATGGCAAGGAAGTAAACAACAACAAAAAATAAATATTTAATATTTTTTTAATTTAAAGAAGAATTTTAATTTAAGAATAATCTCTTAAAAAGTTTCATTTAAACATTTTAATTTTGAGTTAAAACCCGCCAAAAAATAAATTTATATTAGTTTCTAAAAAATAATTATAAAATTAAAACAATTGCCTAATTCTAGGGTTCAATTTTAATTTGTAACCCCTGAAAAAAATTATTTACAATTGCCTACTTTTGGGCACCACTGTTATTTGATTTTTCTTCTCACTAACATACCGCAAATAGCTCTCTCTCTCTCTCTCTCTCACACACACATATCATTAAACTGTTCAGTTCAATTTATGACACACATGATTTCTTTTCAATTCTTTCTCTTTGGTTGTTCTTGTTTTCCCCCATATTGACATAGCAATAGACTCTTAATCGTGCTAATTTCAAGATTTCCCTAAGCTCACTTGCTCACTGACATAACAAATAGAAATTCAAAAGATTGTTTCTTGTGACAACAATACAAACAAAACAAAAAAAAATTTGTTGTTCACACATAGAAAACTGCAATCGTTGGCGCTGTTGTTGTTGTTATCACACCAAATCCTTTGCAGTCCTTGTTGTTGTTGGTTTTTGTCTTTCTCATGCCCATGCCTGACAACTTGCTAGATGTCAAATTATAAACGCGCTAAATAACAAATTCCCCCGTGGTACAAAAAAACACATTTCTACGACAAGGACTGATGCTGATACTACTGCAGCTAACGTTTATTGTTGATTGCACCTAAAAGTAGGCAGCAGCATCAGAAAAAACAAACAATACACAAACAAGAAATGATTAAAAACAATGACAACTACAGCAGATACAGCAGCACATTGGCGCAAAAGAACTGCGATTGCAGATGTTGGCGTTGATTTTTTCTTATTGAACATTGGGTTCGTGTAAAACAAGCACAAGACTCTGGGGGAATTAGAGGACAAAATAAAAATCACACCCAGCTTTGGTAAAGTTTAAGATGAGCATACAATAACATTACAATCTATTGGAGGGAAAGGGGGAAATATTCTTGAAATATTTGCAAAGGATTTTTCTTAATTATTAAGTAAATTGATTTTAAAGAAGTGTTGCATACTTTTGGGAGGGTGTATGACAACCTTGCAAGATACACAACCCCAGGGAAATAGGAGGACATTTGTAGCATACAATTAGGAGGATAATACTTGCAACTTTTATAAAGGAAGATTTTCTAGCAAAATATTTTATATTAAAAAACTGTAGAATTATTGAAACTGTAGAATTATTGAAATATTGAAAGTTATTTTCTTTAAATAAAAAACATTTTTTATTAATTTGTGCTCTTATTTCCTTTTGCTTTCTACAGAGAATTCTACTATATACAAATGGAGAAATATGCCCGTCAAGCTGTTACCGAAGGTGTTAAATGTGCCGAAGATTTGCACATTAGTGGCGATAGTGAACTCTACCGTGTATTGAATTTACACTACAATCGCAATAACCATATCGAGGTAATTATCCAAAACAAAATATACCATTCTCTTAAAAAAATATTTCCCCTCAACAACAAAAGTTCCTTTATTAATTTCAATATTTTTTATTTTTTCTATTATTTTTTTCATTTGAAAAACAAAAGGTTCCCCAAAATTTCCGTTTTGTGGTGGAGCAAACATTACGTGAATTTTTCCGCGCTATACAAGGTGGCAAAGATACAGAACAATCGTGGAAGAAATCAATCTATAAAATAATCTCACGTCTCGACGATCCAGTACCCGAATATTTTAAATCTCCAAATTTTTTGGAACAATTGGAGTAAATGTGAAACACATGAAAACACGACTACCAACCAGGATCAAACAAAAATGATACCCAAACACACACTCGCACACAGAACATACACACACCCACAAAAGTCCTACACAACCATCCAAGGAAGGATATAAGAGAAAATTGAATTCCTTTAAAAATAAAATAGGAAGGAAGAATTCAAGCCAAACATAATATTAGCAAGGATATCAGAAAAAATAATAATAACAACAACAAGGAAATCTAAACTAAATGTTAAGGCAATGCAAAGTTTTCTGTGTTACAAGCCATTGATTAAACAAAGAAAAACCAAATCATGGTCCTTGCTAAGGAAAACTGCATAAGAAAAAATTTTCTTTGACCCCTCAAACTCACACATACAAACACACACACATACTTCGTAGCTTATAGGACTATACAAGCCTAGTGTAAACTGTATTACCGACCTCATAACGCAACCCAGCATACAAAGCAAAGCATAGTTGAAATATTTATACATAGACAAAGTTTTCCTGTTATAAAAAAAAATCACCAAGAAGATGAAGAAAAAATAATATTTTTTAAACAGAGTTTTTAATGCTATACAAACAAGAAAAAATAAAAACAAATATTATTAGGCCTAGCTCAAGAAAAGCAAGATTTTTTCAAAAGGCAATTCTAGGTTAGGTCTTGAAGTTTTTTTGCACCACAACCACAACACAAATCATTTACACATACACACAAGGTTGCAACAAAAAAGTATACAATATTTTTCAAAAAACAAAAAAACACATTTTTAAAACAAAACAAAAAATATTTAAAAACAAAAACATAATTTGTGTCTATGTGTAATTTTTTTATGATTTTTATAAGTTCCAAAAAATTGTTTTACAAAAAAAAATGAAAAAAAAACTAAAAAACAAAAGTATTTCTACAATATTGAGCGTATGTTTTTTTAAAAAACCAAAGTTTATTGTTTAAGTTATGTTTTTTGTATAAGCTATTGTTATATATACAATTTAAGTTACTAATTGATTTATGATTTTCCTTTGCACCACTATTTTTTAGTTTTGTAAAAAATAATTTTTAAATGTCACCCACTAGTCTTTGGTTAGTTATAATTATTTTTATTCTCTCATTAAACAAAAAGAAAAACAAAAGAAATGTATATATAATTTTACCATAAAAATATATGGTTTTTCCTTTTATTTAAATATTATTTTTAATTGTTAAGTCTCTTTAAAATTTTAAGAATTTATATATGAAATATATACTAAACTATTATAGGTTTTTTTTTTTTTTAATATGAATTTAGTTAATTTTTTATGATTTAGAAAAATAATATTTTTAGATTTCATTTTATTTACAAAATATGCCTTAAGTTTTTATTTTTAAATTGTAATTTATGTTAACTATAAAAATCACATTTTCCCTACAAAACAAGCAAACAAACACCAACACAAACACACCTATACTATATATATTATTGATAATAATAATAATCAAAAATAATTTCACCAATTTGAGTTCTTTTGTTTTTATTTAATTTCATTTATACTTCAAAAAAATTTAAGGAGAAAATCGATAGTTGCATTAACAAAAGTCACTTTCTAGGCGGCATTTTTCAACTTCAAGAATACGGGGAATATTACAGAAGATTGTCAAATTCTTTTCTATTTCCCAACATTCTTCTGAGGAATTTGAGAAATCTCCTCTGAGACACTGACATACAAATACGTTCAGTTCATCTCTCCCATAATAAAACTTTAAGAGAGGGATTTAAGCTTGTCTCTGTAATATTGAGAGATCTCTTGAAAACAAGTCTAAAACTCTGAAACAAAACAGCAAGTCAGATATGGGTGTTTTTATTTGTTTGTTAGCAAATCTTTGTCAATGACTAATTTTTTTCTGAGACACCAGAACGTTTTGACCACCTCTCCCATATCAAATCGTTAAGAGAGCGATTAAAGCTTGTCTCCGTAATATTGAGAGATCTCTTGAAATTATCTGATAGGGGATTTTTCTAAGTTGAGATCAACTCTGATTTCCAATACGGTTAGCCTATTTGATTCTTATTGGATTTAATAGACATAAGGCAGAGATGGGAGTTTTAATTTGTTTGTCAGCAAATAAATAATAGGTTTTTTCTTTCCAGAAATATGTCTACAGACCAATTGGAATATTTCCTTTTAAAAAGGAAAATGTGTCATATTAGATATTCATTTGAAATTTAAGATTGTCTCCGTAGAATTGAGAGATCTTTTGAAATTATCTGATGGGAAATTTTTAAAAGTTGAGATCAACTCTGAAATTGCAAAAGGGTTAGCCTATTTGATTCTTATTGGACATAAAAGACAAAAGGCAGATATGGGAGTTTTAATTTGTTAGGAATTCGATGTCACACCTTACAGAAAACAGAGGAACTTCTATAGCTTCTCAATCAGTGTCTGAAAGAGATATTCATCTGAATTTTTTAAACAAGATGAAGTCTGATCACTATTTTTGATTTATGCCGGTCTTGCAGCAAATGCTCGATGTTAGAACTTCACTTGGAAGAAGATCTTGGATCACATATCTTCCATTACATTCTTTAGAAATCTTTGCCAGAAGAAGACTCATTGTATTCCACAAGAATAGATAGAGTGATATAAGACAACAGTCTGTTGGGCTCTAATCGACTGTAAAAAAGAACTCCAACTTTTTATAGATAAATAGGCTTTTCGGAAAGGATGCATTCGTTATATGTTATTGAGGAGAAAAAATCCAGTCATAAAACATAAGAAAAACATTCTTGGCACCTTTCTCCTTTAGATAATGCCTTTGGTAGAGGGAGAAACATTTCCAATAATGACGCATTCAAAAGATTGTTTGGAGTAGCAAATCTATAGTATTGAAAAATAGCACCTCCTGACCTTCGAAAAGAAGCTGCTTTGGTTTAGGAAAATATATTCGGGTAGATATTTTGTCAATTCCTAGAAGACACATTCGGAACTTTAAAACTACGAACTTCTGGCGTTTGAGGAGAAGATATACAGACGTTTTATGAAAATCGAAAATTTTCCTTCGAGAGATCGTTATCTATGCAAGTAATTTCGCCGAAAACTCTTTGGTAACATTATAAAATATTTTCTGGGCTGCTATGGGAAGACCATTGAAGGTCTCATCAAAATACCTTCTGGCCTTCCTTTAAGCGTTCATTTTTGAATTTTATTAAAAGATCTTTTGGCCTCTTGAAGGTCATTGTATTAGTAGTCGGTGGTGGTTTCCCATAGGAAGAAATTTTGTACTTTCTGGTAGGAAACTGATGACGAGATTTTATTTTCTATGAGAAGTTATTATAAGAGGATTCTAATAGCTAATAATTAGAAATGTTTTTTCTTTTATAAGAAAATATTTCATAATATTGAAATTATTTATTTTTTCATTTACATTCTTTTAAAAATCATTCACCGTTCAACAACAATTTAACATATATTTTTTTTAACATACAAAAAAAAATTAAACCTCCCAAAAACAGACAGACAAACAAAACATTTCTTAAAATATTCCCTATCAATTATCGATGACGATGATGACTATTTAAACGACTCTATATTTGCCATTATTGTGTAGCCGTAGATGTCGTCTGATGGAGGTCTATGGCATAATTTTCGATTCAGTTGGCCCTCAAACAAATAAAGAAAAACTGAAGGTTAAAATACAAAAAAGAAAAGAAATACGATGAAATATGATTTCTTTTCAGAAAAATTGCGCATAATGTTTGCTTACTTCGAAGCCAAAGGTGAAAAAAAAACAAAACAAGAAGAAGAAAAAGAAAAAAATCAAAACTTTCTTAACTTTCATTAACAATGAATGTTAAGAAATCCTTAGAAATTTTCTGGGAATCGTTGAAAATTTTTAAGATATATTCTAATTCTATATGTTTTATTGTTACTATTTTACTATCGATTTATTTCCAGTTTTAAATATTTTTCAAGATTTTTTTTGTGAATTATTGTATTTATTTCAAATATGGGCAATTGAATTATTAATCAAATATAAAGGAGAGTTGCTGATGTAAGTAAGAATATATAATTGAAAGAAAAAATGATTCAAAATCACACTAAATTAAAATTCCCATCTCTGTGTACTAACGTTCATTGAGTACTAAAAATAATAAGGAATCATTAAACTGATGTCGCCTAAAAATATGCTATAGAAATAAATATTTCGATGTCACAATCAGTGATGAGAAAAGTGGCCATAGGTAACGTTACTTAATTAAGGGGAAATTAAATGTATTATCCAAACCTAAACCAGGGAGGTTTAGAGGATAAAATTCGCATCATTGCAATTTACACTCCACAAAAAAATATTTGATTAACAATTCGAGAGCCCTTGAAATCACGACTTTAATTTACTCTTGGAATGTGGGAGGGTTCAGAGGGATATGTTTGCCTACATTTTAGTTTCGGATCCAAATCCGATCCAACTAACAATGTAGGCAAACTGAAAAAGTTTTAAGCAATTTTTTCAGGATGTTTGATATTTTTTCCAATATCAAACAGCCAATCAAAATTGTTTAAGACTTTTACAAAAAAATAATATTTTTTTTAAATAACAACAACATCATTACATCAAGCACATCCACATGCCTAATAAGTATGAAATATACTTTGTTATAAATATTTTTTAAATTTACCAAAAACAAAAAACTAACAACAAAATCCAAAAAGAAAAGGAAAAGCACACAAAAACATGCTTATTTATTTCAAGCAAAAAATGGAACAATATTTTGCAAAATCAAAAAAATATCCTTCGAAACCTTTGCGGGACAAAATTAACAACATTTTTGGTAGAACAAAATCCAGAGACACATTTCGGAGTTTTTTCTTAGAATTTAGTACAAAACATCAATCAATCACAACACAGGTATTTCATTTATTTAGTTAAAATTACTATTTTTTATTGCAAAGAAGAAAAAAACATGCGCTCATCCTTTGAGGAAAACTTTTTTAAAATTGGCTCAACTAAAAACGAATACTTTCGGCTTATTGAATAAAAAACAAAATTAGATTAAGAAAATACCGTTGTTTTTGTAGAAACCCACATAAAC